CCTTCCTTCCTTCCTTCCTTCCTTCCTTCCTTCCTTCCTTCCTTCCTTCCTTCCTTTTGTCCTGTCCTTAAATAAATCCTCTGGATAAACTAGTAAGTAGTGTTCAACTTCTGAGGGAATACATTGGTTCCAGCTTCATGTTTTTGTGATGGGCTCTTACCTACTATTTTTAAAACAACTATAAGAGGCATTATTTCAGTAAACGAACAGAAGTCAGAAGACAGGATTCTTTATGAAGTAAATAAATGAATGAGTCAGTCAGTAAATTAGTAAATACTTACTCTGCTTAGCAGGTGCCCCATAACATTCGTTCTCTAAATGACATAGAAATATAACAATAATAATAAATAATTAAAAATGTAATTCTACCTTACCTTATATCAATAATGACATTGATTTCATTAAGACTTCCCTCTCCTGCCCCCACCAATAATTTAAGCACTTAAAACAGATCTCACTTTGTTCTATGAGACTGTCTCAGAGGAGTGTTATCAAATGGGTGCTGCAGAAATCCTGTTGGCCACCACAGGGCCACAAAGAGATTTGGAAAATGGTTTGCTTTCAACTAAAGGTTCTCTAGATTTCTGCAGCCAAGCTCTGGTAGCCCTGCTACAGGAAAATCATCATCATCATCATCATCATCATCATCATCCCAACAACATCCGCCTATCCCAGGTTCTTGGGAAGGACTTGATAGGTGGATAAAAATGCCAAATCTGGTCTAAACATCTGGCTGACTGCGACCAACCATCATCATCATCATCATCATCATCATCAACATCATCAACATCAACATCATCATATACCAAGTTTTGCTGGATTTACATAGATACAGTTGCTCATTTATCTACTGTCTGTAGCAGGACCCAGTGCTGCCGTGATTTAATAGGTTCCTAGCTCTGTTGAAGAAATGAAACTCATTCTTCTTTCATCACCATTTGGGACAAAATAAAACCAGGGTTGATGGGCATGGAATGAAATGTGAATTTCGGTTGTTCCTAACTCAGTTCATAAAAGCTACTATGCTCAACTGCAGAGCAATTTCTCTTGATCAATGACACTGCAGCTCCAGATGTTTGCTGATGTATCAGACCAGGTCTATTCCCTTTGGAAGCAGGGAAAATAGATGCATTTCGCAAGAAGCAATATTTGTAAATGAAGCTTTTCTTGGGGTCATAAGCTTCTAGAAAAGATTAGCTGGAGAAAGAGAACAATACATTTGAGCAAGGCCTCCCAGTCTTGCAATCCTGCTACAAGACTTAGGAATAGTAACAAATGTTTTTACACCAGAGGATACTAAACTTCATTACAGATGTTTAGTTGGCCATAAAGAATTCTTTTGTGGTTTTTAGTGAGGAAAAGGGGTCAATATGGTCCTTACACTTGACACTGTTTAGAAAATAAAACAATAAAATGGTGAGGAGTTTTTAGATATAATAGGGCTGATACATTTATTGCCTATTCAAAAGCTGCAAGAAAGCTGTTTTTATTGTCTCTTAAGGAATATATTGCCAGTTTAACAATGCTTTTTCCTTTTAGTTTGGTTAAACACACACAAACACAGAGAAAAAGATTCTCTAATGACATCTCTTGGCCAACTTGTACAAAACAGTAATGATGTCCACAATGCAAGTGCACAAAGTAGGAAACCTGACGATCACGTCTTCCTTCCAAGGGGTGGGAGGGAGGAGAAGTAATAATTTATTAAGTAACGAATGAATTAATGCCTTCCCCCACATCCAGAATCTACTGCAGCCAGTGGTAGGGCTGGCCATGAGGAGCTGGCAATTATTTCCAACATCTGTCAATGCATCCAGGATGGAACGGTGGATCTGAGCAGTCAAGAAACTTCTCCTAGAGACTCCATTCATCTCTCTTCTCATCCATCCTTCATCACATCTTCCAGGGCTGACAACTTACTGCTATGACCAATGGGGCCCCCAAATGCTTTCTGTTGGTCACCTACCTACCTTGCAAATGATGCGTCTGAGAGTGCAACAGTGCCTTCTTTTTAGAAGTGTATTTGTCCCTGTTGCTGTTCCTGTTTTCTGTCTGTTTGGCCTGACCAGGGTCATCATTGGTGGTCAGATACTTGAGAAGCTCTGAGCAGGGACGTCTTTGTGGCTTTTGTGGGTGACAGATACTCTTCGCTTTATTGCTCCAGGAATTCTCAGTCTTGGGAAATGAGTCACAGTGTAAGGGAAAAGAAAGGTGAAATTAGTGAGCTGAACCTTATCAGAATGGATACAGAGTGTTGCTTTAAAAAAAAAGAAAAAAAAGATGAGATTAGCAGTGAAGGGTTCAGTCTAAGTTACTAGATCTATGAGCTGTGAATAATTATTTGCAGAACAAAGAAAGAAAATTGCATTAAAATTCCTAAATGACATTGATGCAGCTTTTTATTTCAGCCCTCTTATGTTTCAATGCTTCTATGCAGCACTATATACCTAATAAGATCCTACAGCTCCTTTACTACCAACAGGAAAAGAGAGAGAGAGAGAGAGGGAGGAAGAGTTTAAACCTTAATTTGATGCTGATTGCTCAAGTCTCACAACCTGTTCACAACTCTCTTAAGTACCCCTAAACGCTCTGTTTTCAGTTACAGTCAATGGCAAGACAAACATTGTTTAATACAGGCTGCTAACAGAATTATACCACTGCCAGCATCTCGAGCAATTAATGGCCATCACAGAGCTTTCTTCAAAGGTGCCAGCGTAATCTTTTTTTAAGCAGGATTGCTGGCAGAGTGGCAGACCAGACCTGTATATCAAACAAGGTCTATCACTAATATTTTAAGGGCAACACCACCTACTTTGCATCTAGAAAAAAAAAAAAAAGAAGAGTAGACTGTAAAAATGCCAGTAAACATTGCCAAGAAAAAACAATGACATTAAGATGTAGAATATTAAAAGGCACAGGCCAATCTCTTTTATTCTGCTAGATATTCCCCCTCTCTGCTACATCTCTATTGCCCCTTTTC